GGATAAATGCAAGTGCTTGCCTGCAATGTAAAATCCTTTCGTGAGCGCATTCGACAAGATTGTCTTAATGAGGAAGAGTCCAGTGGTGAAGGGACGCATCAGAGTGCCGCAATCGTCGCGAAACTGTACACGTAATGCGCCAGTACCATCGCTGTCAAACTCCCGAAGAACTCTGTTGCCCATTTGCATCTGTGGTGCCAGTAGGAGTATTCGCGTTGTCGTTACAATAATCTGAAATTCGATGTAACTGGAAGAGGGACGAAAAGGGGGAGAACAACAAAGCTTCTCCTTTTCACAGGAGAAGCTAGAAGCATGGTTTTTAAGGGATCTGTGTTCTAGAAAATCCAGGGATCAAGGGGTTTACAAATGGTCAGTGCTGATATCCGGGGGACCAAGATATGGATAATCAGTGTTGAAGGCTGAAGACGGTGGTTAAACTCACATACGTGCTCGCTTCCGAAAATCGTCTTAGTCGCATTTTCGTCTTAATCGTCTTAGTGTTTTAAATTTTTTTTTGCACCGCATTAGTCATGCAAAAATGTATCTCGCTATGAAGAAGACTAAAATCCTGCGAACAAAATCTTCGGTCCCTACAAGGCGCCGAACCTAAAAAATTAGTTCTTGGATCTCTTATATCCTAAAAATCGATCATAGTTCCAAACTCGAACGAGGTTGCGACCGTGTGCAACTACTCACTAACCCAGAAAAATAACTTCCAAGTTCCAATTAGATCTGGTTCCTAGCCCAGTGACCGCCGTCTCAAGTCCTTGATTGTGAGGGCCGTAACGCTGAAGTCAACATACATCTTCACTGTGGAGATGTATGTTCGTAGACGGTCGTTGCTTCAGTTCAATGGCTCTACTATACCAAACTACTGATCGGCATAATTCATCAGTTTTGGTGAAATCATTTCACTGTCCTTGTGTGTAGGTTACTGTTTTTCACAGTGAATCAGTTTCAGAATCACCGGAAATCTACAGACAGGGGAGAATCTTCAAGTTATATAGTGCCCATACATACAAGTTTCTACGCTGTCCATACTTCTGGATAGGAATGTGGACATAATATGGTATACCATCAGAGTAGCAAGGTACATCTGTGTATCCCGCAGCAACTGAGCTTTACGCTGTTTATAATTGGACGAACAGATTAAAAAAGAACGGTTAGATTAAAATAACTGTGTGCTTTGCCGAGCTTTCGCTCACTGCGAGCCAGCAGTTATAGTTTTTCGTAAAAACACAACCGGATTGACACCTCGAGCATGCCACCATTTCTGTTTGGTATGTGAAAAATTCCCAAAAAAGCAGAAGGTAATGAAAAAGTTTGGAAAAAGCTTTAAAAAAAAAAGAAATGGAGGAAATCAAGGTCGTTAAGAAAAATTAAATTTTGAAGAACGTGCCTTT